CACAAATGTTAGGGGGTGCTTAACTTTTTTATACGCCCACATTTTCATGTGAATCCAAATATATAAAGAGAGAGGAATCCAAAACCATTTGAATAACATAAACTTAGATGGGATCGAAGTCATAATAAACTTGATACGGTGACACCAGTAGTAGGAGTGGTTAAAAACAAAGTCATGGGTATCACAAAACCATCTTTTATAGTATCTAACGTTTCGTAAGTCTAAATACCTACTTCTTCAGAGAATACAAGCTACACAAATAATACAGTTGCAGTACAAGGTTAGTCATGGTAACAAGTGATGTCATAATGTTAATATGATGTCATAGCTTTGATGACATAATATAAAGAATAAGCTAAATAATATATAGTTAAAAAATGGGTGTAGAATTAATTTACAGGCATTTCATTTAAACCACTAGGCCATACAGTATTTAATCTGTGAATCCAAAGTGATTCAGCAATATTGAGTTTGGCTCTATCGTTCTGAGGGATTTTATCGAGTACAGTGCAGACATAAGATTCATGACCAGGTGTATTAAAGTGTGGGGCTATGTGAGGTGATTTTCCAATCTTTTTCAATTTAATATTGCTTCTATGACTATTAAGTCTGGTACTAAAGGGGGTGATAGTTTGACCAACATACTGTTTCTTACAAAACTCACAAGTTATACAATATATAGGGGGGTTGGATGGCCGAATGGTTAGCACGTGCGTGCTGTATCATACGGCCTGTCATTGAGTCAACTGGCGTGGTTTCGAATCCCCGGTTGTACGTGACAAGGAGTAGGGTCGCCTGTCCAATCTCGTGGGTTTTCTCCGGGTCCTCTGGTTTCCTCCTACTGCTAAAGACCCCTACGCGCAAGCGAATTATTGAAATAAAATTAAACCATATGTTAGTCCCGAAATGACCTAGTTTGTGTCGAGTGGACATTAACCCCATTTCTCTCTCTCTCTATACAATATATAACATTAGAACTATGGCAATTTAAACAATTAGCCTTAATATGAAATTTTTTTTAGTCTATACTGGTAATGTGACTGGTTTCATAGCCCCACACTTTAATACACCTGGTCATGAATCTTATGTCTGCACTGTACTCGATAAAATCCCTCAGAACGATAGAGCCAAACTCAATAAATCAGTATAGACTATTAAAAAATTACAGAGAACATAAAGTAAGAAGTAACCTGACTGAAGAAAAAAAACAAGCTATCTACTCCCTCAATTGGCAATAGTGACAAAAGCGGTGGTATAATTATATGGAACAAACAGGATTATATTAAGGAATGTTTTAAACACCTCAACGACTCAAGCGTGTATCAAGAAGTACCCAGTGACAACTCCCACATGATTCATCAGAACCTCGAGAAAATAATTCTTAATTTGGCAATACTGTATAACGAGAAAAAAGCTATTCTTCACTGGAATAAACAGCGAACCCCACAATTTTACATCTTAGGTAAAATACATAAGACTAAGAATAAAGGTGAAATCCCTCCAGGAAGACCCATTTGCAGTCATACTAATTCTCCCACAGCTAAAGCATCTTATTGGCTTGATTGGAAATTGAAACCCATTGCAGAAACCTACTGCACCGAAGTCGTGAAAGACACCACTAATTTTCTTCAAAAACTCCAAAATATAAATATAAGCAATAATACCTACCTACTCACATTCGATGTTATTGTCCCCCGCCTTTCAAAGAAAGCAGGGGACTATTAAAATGGGTTCGTCTGTCTGTCTGTCTGTCTGTCCGTCTGTCTGTCCGTCACACTTTTTGGGACACAATAACTCTCTTCCTAATTGAGCTAGAATGTTCAAACTTGGTGTATGTGTTTATTAGGTCAATGCCTTGATGGAGTTCGAAGATGAGCATTTTCCGCTTAGGGTAAGCAGAGATAAGCAATTTGATTGGTTGATGCTTTGGGACACGATAACTTTTAATTGAGCTAGAATGTTCAAACTTGGTGTATGTGTTTATTAGGTCAATGCCTTGATGGAGTTCGAAGATGAGCATTTTCCGCTTAGGGTAAGCAGAGATAAGCAATTTGATTGGTTGATACTTTGGGGCACGATAACTCTCTTCCTAATTGAGCTAGAATGTTCAAACTTGGTGTATGTGTTGATTAGGTCAATGCCTTGATGGAGTTCGAAGATGAGCATTTTCCGCTTAGGGTAAGCGGAGATAAGCAATTTGATTGGTTGATGCTTTGGGACACGATAACTTTAGTTCTAATTAAGTGAGATTGATGAAACTTGGTGTATAGTTTCATTACAGTAATACCTTGACTAAGTTTGATAATGTCCCCCGCCTTTCGAAGAAAGCAGGGGACTATTAAAATGGGTTCGTCCGTCTGTCTGTCTGTCTGTCTGTCTGTCTGTCCGTCCGCCTGTCTGTCCGTCACACTTTTTGGGACACAATAACTCTCCTTCTAATTGACCTAGAATGTTCAAACTTGGTGTAGGTGTCTATTAGGTCAATGCCTTGATGGAGTTCGAAGATGAGCATTTTCGGCTTAGGGTAAGCCGAGATAAGCAATTTGATTGGTTGATGCTATGGGACACAATGACTTTAGTTCTAATTACGTGAGAGTGATGAAACTTGGTGTATAGTTTCATTACATCAATACCTTGACTAAGTTCGACAATGAGCATTTTCTGCTCAGAGTAAGCAGAGCGATAAGCAATTTGATTGGACGAGACTTTGGAACACAATAACTCTCCTTCTATTTGAGCTAGAATGTTCAAACTTGGTGTAGGTGTTTATTAGGTCAATGCCTTGATGGGGTGTGAAGATGAGCATTTTCTGCTTAGGGTAAGCAGAGATAAGCAATTTGATTGGTTGATACTTTGGGACACGATAACTTTAGTTCTAATTAAGTGAGAGTGATGAAACTTGGTGTATAGTTTCATTACATCAATACCCTGACTAAGTTCGATGATGAGAATTTTCAGCTTGGGCTAAGGAGCAATAAGCATTTTGATTGGTTAAGACTTTGGAACATAACAACTCTTCTTCTAATTGAGGTAGAATGTTAAAACTTGATGTAGATGTTCATCTTGACTTAGTTCAATGATTAACATATCGTGCTAAAGCTAAGAAGAGATAAGCAATTTCCTTGGTCGATGCTTTGGAACAAGATAACTTTGATTCTATCTGATAGAGAGTGATGAAACTTAGTGTATAGTTTATAATCAGTTGATTGCTGGATACTTTTGAAAAAAAATAGATGTGCGATTAATTAATATGTGTCATCTATTTATTTGGGGATTTCGGCGGGGGACATCAGCCTCACTGTTGGCTTGTTAGAAATGAATTACTGCAATATAAAATCAAAGATATCAATAAGAAGAAAGTTATACCATGGGTAACCACATATGACCCCCGTCAACCTAATTTACATACTTTAGCGCAAGATACCTCGATTTTAGAGACTAGCGCACGTACGTCTAAACTATTGGATGAATCAAAAATCGTAATATCCCAGAAGAAATGTAAGACTATTGGTCAATTGATACAAGTGAATAGACTGAAAACACCTGAAGTGCCTTTAATTGACAGTGCTTTTTATAGAGGATGCAAACCATGTTATAGACCTAAATGCAAAGCGTGTCAACTGTTGAAACCACCGGTCACATTACCAGTATAGACTTAAAAAAATTTCATATTAAGGCTAATTGTTTAAATTGCCATAGTTCTAATGTTATATATTGTGAGTTTTGTAAGAAACAGTAAGAAATCCCGTTTTTAGCTTGTGAACACTGTAGAGGTCACAATTTTTATCCGATTTGGTTTAAACTTGAAATGTATGCTTATAACTCAAAGATCTCGGTTCCTTTTGATATTCGTGCATATCGGAACGCAACTTCCTGAATTATGGCCCCTGATTGTACGAAAAATCGCGTTTTTAGCTTGTGGACCCTATAGAGGTAATATTTTTTATCTGATTTAAAAAAAGGTATTATTATATCACTGTTACACCCTAAGGACGGCTAAGTTCGAATTGCGTGAAAATCGGCCCAAAACTGACAGACAAAATGGCCGCTGTTCGTTCTCAAATAGCGTAAAAATATGGTATGTCAAGGTTGTGGACCCTATAGAGGTCTCAATTTTTATCCGATTTGGTTTAAACTTGAAATGTAAGTTTATAACCCAAAGATCTCGATTCCTTTTGATATTCGCGCATTTCGGACCGTAACTTCCTGAAATATGGCCCCTGATTTTACGAGAAATCAAGTTTTTAGCTTGTGGACCCTATAGAAGTCATAATTTTTATCCGATTAAAAAAAAAACGTATTATTATATCACCGTTACACCCTAAGGACGGCTGAGTTCGAATTTCGTGAAAATCGGCCTAAAACTGACAGACAAAATGGCCGCCATTTGTTCTCAAATAGCGTAAACATATGGTATATCAAGGTTGTGGACCCTATAGAGGTCTCAATTTTTATCCGTTGAAACTTGAAATGTAAGTTTATAACCCAAAGATCTCGCTTCCTTTCGATATTTGCGCATATCGAATTGTAATTTCCTGAAATATGGCCCTTGATCGTAGGAAAAATCACTTTCTTTTTAGTTTGTTCTCTATCCATCTCTGGAAAATGTGGGCGTATCCTGCCTGGCAGCCGCAAGTTCTTTGTGTATATATAGCAAAATGTATTAGCAAAATTTTTATCAGATCGAAAATGACAGGAACTCTTTGTTTTCATTGGAAGTTATAGATTTGATAATTTATTTTTCAGATAAATATCTGCTTAAAGGAGTACTCCACTTTACAAACTTTTCGTGATTTATGATAATTTTCATATAAAAGAGTCAATTTAAGTTTAAAAAATTGAATTTTTTTTTTTTATGATGTAAAACAGTATAAAAATACATAAAAAATAAACTAGTTATCTTTCCCTAGTTAGCTCTTTCGCCATGGCGTTATGATTGCTATGCTGTGACGTCACAGTTGAACAACAGCCTTTGTTTACATGTGCTTGTAGTACAGAAGTTTTTAGCACCTGATCGGCGAATTTTACAAAAAAAATGGTTCTTTGTGCTGCTGTTGGTTGTAATAATGATTCAAGAAGAACGGCTGGCATTAGCTATTATAAAATCCAGTCTCGAGCAGTTGATATACAGAAGAAATGGATGATTAATCTAAGACGAAAAAACTACGTAGTCACGGCACACTCTTGTATTTGTTCCGATCATTTTGAAGAGGGCTGTTTCGTTCGAGATTTGCAGGCAGAACTTTTAAAAATTACGAGGCCTCGTAAGATTAAAGATGACGCCTTACCAACAGTTTTCAATCATGGCATGAAGAGTTTACCAACAAAACGGAGACTACACACGGAACAACGTCTGAATGCAAAACAAAGAAAATCGGTAAGCGAAATTATGATGCAGATATTTTGTTTACTGACGCGGCACCGGAGCCACTAGTAAAGTAGAAAGATTTGTGGCATTTTATTTTTATTAAAATTACTGTAGAATAGTTTGAATCTACTATAAAATGAAAATGAATTTCCATGTAAAATACATCTATTGTATAGTTTTAAGTCAAAATCATCTAGGTCTAACAAAGGGGATCTATGGAAAGTTGCATGTGTTTTTGAATCCACGAATGTGCGTGGCAAGGAGTAGGTTCGCATGTCCAATTCGTTGGTTTTCTCGGGGTCCTCCGGTTTCCTGTCATCACTTAAGACCCCTACGAACAAGTGAATTATTGAAATAAAATTGAACCATGTGTTAGCCCCAAAATGACATAGTTTGTGTCGAGTGGAAGTTACATGTAAATCCCATTTCTCTTGTTTTAAAATCGCTAGATATATGTTTATTATTGTTTTACAGGAAATCCATAACATAATATTAAGTGATGTGTCCAACATCAGTACCAGTACTGGTAATCTAATACAAGACAATCCTGAATCAGATATTTCAACTTTCGAAGCAGAACATACATATGAAAGAAAGGAAGAAAGGGGCTGTCAAACTGATTACATTTTATTTCCGGATGTTTTTCCAGCTAATACCTTCAAAGGAACTGTTTCAAGGGGTACGCAAACATTTCCGAAATATTGTAATTCTTCAACCCAATACAGAGAAGAAGATTTTCTTGATGTGCAAAGTTTATTAGAATGTCATTCATACTGTTCTACTTCAATATCAACCCCCTCTCTTGATAATTCACATAATCCACAAACCAGTACACCAAAAAAGAAAGTACCTATAGAATTTCTTTCTGATTCATCATCATCATCATCTGATGCACGTGACACAGATTACCAACCTAGTCAGGGTGTTGGAGATAGTTCATTTTGTTCAAGTAATGGTAGTTTTTCCAGTGACGATGCAAACCCTAACATCTGTTTAAGTAAATTAAATACAGTAGAACCACATGTAGATAGAAAATATATTGTTTTTGAAAGTTCTTTATGTAAGCTTTTTAAATTTTGCCAAATTTGTGGTAGTAACATTATTAATACAACAAAAAGTACTAGCGGTTCATTATTAAAGGTAAAAAGTGTTTGTGTTTTTGGACATAGTTGTACTTGGAACTCACAACCATACATCCGGAAAATGCCTGCTGGAAATTTACTGATTGCTGCAGCTTTACTCTATGCTGGGTGCTCTTATGCTAAAATGGAGGAGTTTGCCGATTTATTAAATCTAGAATTTTTTGGACATTCGACGTATTATAAAATACAAACAGATTTATTTACTATAATTAACGAGGCTTGGACAAAAGAAAGATTATCTGTTGAGAATGAATTAGTTGGCAGAGTACTGTGTGTATCTGGGGATGGAAGATGTGACAGTCCAGGATTCAGTGCAAAATATTGCACTTATTCCCTGCTTGATAGTGGTAGTGGAAAGTTAATTAACTTCAGTGTTGTACATGTTGGGCAAGTTGAACTGAAATCCACAAACATGGAGAAAGAAGGTCTAAGGCAATGTTTGGAAACACTGGACGAACGCTTGAATATTAATGTATTGGCAACAGACAGGCACATACAGGTCGGATGCATGTTACGAAAGGATTATCCGAATATTATCCATCAGTATGATGTCTGGCATGTATCAAAATCATTAATAAAAAAATTATCTGAGAAAGCCAAGTCCAAACAAAATGAGCCCTTAAAACCGTGGATTCAGTCGATCCGAAATCATTTTTGGTGGTGTGTCACAACATGTGACGGTAATATCATTCTTTTGAAAGAAAAATGGATTTCTGTTCTAAAACACTGTTCTAACATCCATGAGTGGACATCAAATGAACAGTTTCATCAGTGTGAACACCCAAAACTTTCAAAACACGAAGTCCAAAAAATGTGGTTAAAACCTGGGTCTGCAGCATTCCAAGTATTACAAGACATTGTTTTGGATAAATCATTTTTGAAAGTTTTAGAAAAACTTACATTAGCATGTCACACTGGAGACCTTGAAGTTTATCATTCGATGATGCTAAAATATTGTCCAAAACGACAGCATTTTTCATTTGAAGGTATGGTTGCTCGGACCCAGCTTGCTGCTCTTGACCATAACAATGGGGTTGGCAGGGATCAAGCAATAGCATCCAGCGGACCCAATGAAGGCACTTACAAATACAATCAAGTGTTCCCAAAACAAACGTCTGTCTGGGTGGCAAAGCCTATCTTTGAAAAAAAGACCTATGATTTTAAGAGAGATTTGATGGCTAGAACTGTGGAGGTGAGAACTGCTGGAATTGTATTACCAATATTTAATTTACCAGTTGTGCCAGAAAACATTGCTTCTGTGCCTAAGCCGCCTAAGGATGAAACTGTGAGGAAACACAGATCGTGCATGTCTAAATCCATTTTAGACGAGTCACCAGCCGTATCAGAATTATTTTGTGAATAGTTCACAAAATACTGACATTCTTGTTTATACAAAAGATGAAGTTTGTTTGTTGATTATTTGTGGTTGAACATATAGATTATTATAAGTAATTTAATGATTCTATTTAATTTGTATTATGAAATCATAAGGTCTGTTATTGAGTCAAATGGTGTGCTTTGGATTCTCCACTTGTAAGTGACATAAATGTGACATTTTTTTATTAAGATGCATTATGTAAGATTTAGATAAAGAGTTGGCCATTCTCGGCTATAATGGTTTAAAAATGAATATATTGAAAATTTGTCTAATTATTGCATTCTGGGCACTGTTATGACAAGAAATAGTGTAGTCTTGATTGCCAAGCACTATATTCACAAGATAAAAAAAACAAGTCTCGGTTATCTTCAATAAAGGCAGCTATCTAAAAAATTTATTTTTAAATGGTAGTAACATAGTGAATTTTAGAAATTTATTCTGCCCACTTAAAACCAGTATAATGACCAGTTGGAGATAGGAATATTGTCCTTATTTTAGCAACAACACAGGATGGTATTACTTTTCTGATGTGTCTTCCCAATCTTTGATGTATCCAATATATGAACTGTCTGTAGGCTTGGTGTCGTAAAACGCTGAAAGAAAAACAAAAAAAAATAGGGGTTGTTACATTTTAACTAGGGTAATAATACTATTTGAAAAGGAAAGATGTCTTTGTTATCTGCTCTGCATTGTGTAATCAGATCTATAATATGCACTTATGTCGTAGTTATGTACATACATGTACATATATGTATGAATAAGTTTTATGAATAAGTTTGAATTGAAGATACAACTTTAATACATTTTTAGTATTCTGTATAATAATATGTATATACTTTTTCTTTTTACTAAAATAACTTGTATTGTAATGTAAATTGTTTTTTTTTTCACACCTCATTTGGTGTCACTTGTGTCAAATGAGGTCTACCAACACATTTTATTTGTATTTTATTAGTATTGTTCTGATAATCTCGTTTGTATGCAATCACGTACCTTTATGAGAGTTTGTTGTAGATGAATCATATTTATTTACAAAAGAAAAACAACCAACCACTGGTTTCCAAGCTGATCTACTTCCAATTTGTTTATTTATAACGTGTTCTTTGATTGTCCAATGAAATGATAGAACAGCAGCCAAAGTATCTATTTATAGTAATGTGAGAAATTGTCGCCGAACTGTAACTCGGTAACTATAAACTGAAAGTTAAAACTTACTCATTTGAAATCGGCTGGGCTTTGTCTCCTCGCACATCAGCCCTAGCAATAGCCGAAACTTTAAGGACTTCGGCATTTAAGCAAACTGTACGAAAATCCTCATTTTCTATTACACACAAGGTTGTATGGGCGAGTCGGTGAGAAATAGCGTTGGTTTCCTTGCAGCACACACATTCGTCTGACAATGGCATCGAAGAACAATTAGTGCACAGACACCAGTCTGTATTTCCTACTCGAGTATTATTATCAATAACTTCGTCCTCCGATGTATTGGTATCCGAATCCGTTCGCATTTCACCCGGAGAATATTCTGGCTCGAATTGGTAAGGTGCTATCATAGCGGAGTTCCGAGCAGCCATTACAAACAATGCTGGATACGGCTTTACTTTGTTCGCGAGTGACGTCATAATTCCATCGCGTGATATTCCTGGTTTTCAAAAGAAGAGTTCTATTTGGCAATATGGCGGTGCCCATGGCTCTTACAAATTGTTTTATAATGCCAATTAAAAAAAAAATAAAAACAGTTTCTTGACGGGAATTGCGGGGCTTATTTGTATGAATCAAATACTTGCTTTAATAAATATTTCCATGAATAATGGAGTACTCCTTTAAATGAAAATTAAAAAAGGTAGACCTTGCCCCGTCCCTAATCATGAAAACCTGAGGTCTAACTAAGTACACGGGTTGGATGGCTGAATGGTTAGCGTGTAGCATAAGGTCTGTCATTGAGCCAACTGCCGTGGTTTCGATACGCGGTTATACATGATAAGGAGTAGGGTGGCCTGTCCAATCTAGTGGGTTTTCCCCAGGTCCTCCCACTGCTAAAGACCCCTATGCGCAAGCGAATTATTGAAATAAAATTGAACCATATGTTAGTCCCGAAATGACCTAGTTTGTGTCTAGTGGACGTTTAACCCCATTTCTCGCTCTCTCTACCTAAGTACACATTGGCATGCCCATATAAGAACCCTGGACAGTTGGAATTCTATTCAGAGTATTCTTAATTGACTTCCTTTCATTTCCAAACCCTAATCAAGAAAATGTGTGTCCGTCATGGCATATACCCCAATTTGAAGGTGTCAGAAATGGCACTAGTCAAATAAGGGGTTTTTCACATGAAAGAAACTATTTGAATAAATTTTAAAAATACATTATGTAAGAGCTAAATCTACCTATTGCATATCTTTCTTCAGGTAATGTTATCTAAATTATTAATTAGACATTAATTAACTTATCCAGACCATAATCAATTCTCAAAGTCATTGCTAGCCTGCGATATTTACTGGATTATGATCCCATTTGCTGCTCAACTTTCATTTTTGATTTAATCATGAAATGGATAATCGAGACTATGTTTTTTATCGTACTTTCTTAAGTAATGATAATCGAGGTTAGGCCAAAATTTAAATTGCTTAATTCTCGGTTCATAGTGGATCAATTTGACCGAAATTTTTCGGCAAAATGCCTTTACATTATCTAGTTTTTATACGCCCACATTTTCATGTGGACGTATATTGTCGTCGCCCCTGTCCGTCCGTCCACAATTTGTTTGTGGACACTTTGCAGGTCACAATTCTTATTCAATTTTGATGAAACTTGTAATATAGGTTTATCTCCAAAAGATCTCGGTTGCTATTGATATTGGCATGTATCGGATCGAAACTTCACGGTGTTAGCTTGTGGACCCTATAGAGGTTATAATTTCTATCTGATTTGAAAAATTGTTTTAGTATATCACCGTTACATCCTAAGGATGATTGAGTTCGAATTTTGTGAAAATCGGCCCAAAACTGACAGACAAAATGGCCGCCCTTCGTTCTCAAATACTGTAAAAATATGGTATATCTAGGTTGTGGACCTTATAGAGGTCACAATCATTGCTAGCCTGCGATATTTACTGGATTATGATCCCATTTGCTGCTCAACTTTCATTTTTGATTTAATCATGAAATGGATAATCGAGACTATGTTTTTTATCGTATTGACTTAAGTAATGATAATCGAGGTTAGGCCAAAATTTAAATTGCTTAATTCTCGGTACATAGTGGATCAATTTGACCGAAATTTTTCGGCAAAATGCCTTTACATTATCTAGTTTTTATACGCCCACATTTTCATGTGGACGTATATTGTCGTCGCCCCTGTCCTCCGTCCGTCCGTCCGTCCGTCCACAATTTGTTTGTGGACACTCTACAGGTCACAATTCTTATCCAATTTTGATGAAACTTGTAATATAGGTTTATCTCCAAAAGATCTCGGTTGCTATTGATATTGGCATGTATCGGATCGAAACTTCACGGTTTTAGCTTGTGGACCCTATAGAGGTTACAATTTCTATCTGATTTAATAAATTGTTTTAGTATATCACCGTTACATCCTAAGGATGATTGAGTTCGAATTTTGTGAAAATCGGCCCAAAACTGACAGACAAAATGGCCGCCCTTCGTTCTCAAATACTGTAAAAATATGGTATATCTAGGTTGTGGACCTTATAGAGGTCACAATCATTGCTAGCCTGCGATATTTACTGGATTATGATCCCATTTGCTGCTCAACTTTCATTTTTGATTTAATCATGAAATGGATAATCGAGACTATGTTTTTTATCGTATTGACTTAAGTAATGATAATCGAGGTTAGGCCAAAATTTAAATTGCTTAATTCTCGGTTCATAGTGGATCAATTTGACCGAAATTTTTCGGCAAAATGCCTTTACATTATCTAGTTTTTATACGCCCACATTTTCATGTGGACGTATATTGTCGTCGCCCCTGTCCGTCCGTCCGTCCGTCCACAATTTGTTTGTGGACACTCTACAGGTCACAATTCTTA